TGTGGGACCCCATGCACACACACCACCACCACCCCCCTCCTATTCTTCAGCCCTGTTCCGTCGGCTCCGGCACTCCTCGGCTGCTCGCCCTGCTCCCGCCTTGTGTTTCAGCAGAAGACACAAGCTGCTCGGTACCAGCTGGGGAGGGTAAAGGGCTGATCTGTACCCGCTGCCCAGGCTCCGGTCAGGGTGGGCCTCCTGTGCTCCAGAAACCACTTTCTGCAGCGTTTCCAGCAGCAGAACTGAAATGCCTCGTGGAAGAGGCAGGGCGAGCCTGCCCAAGGTCTGTGCAGCCAGCCCGGGAGCAGCATTAAATAATTGAATGGACTCTGGGTATTACAGCACAGTCCTTTCCCCGGGGGGTTAATTAACCTCGTGTAAGGCTTTTGGGGTGTGTTGCTTCCTCAGTGCAGCTGAAGACCTGTTGATGGGCGAGCAGGAAACTTTTTCTCCAGGCTTGCTCTGAAGGCGCTGACCTTGGGTCAGGTGTGACCCCCAGCACTGGCTTGTGGTGACTGGGCGCTTCGGCAGCCCAAAAGGCAGCCCGGCTGTAGCGGAGGCCGGAATTACCTCCCCTTTGAAGCAGAGGATGGCTTCTGAGATGGGGCAGCCGCAGCTCCTGTGCCAGCTCCCAGCCCTGCAGCTGGTCAGGGCGTTTTGAGTCCTCCCTAAGGGCTCGTGTGCCCGCGAGGAGCCTCGCTTTTGCATGTGGGGTGGTGAAGCAGTTTTACACAACGGCTCCGTTCCCCGCAAATGACTAAAAGGGCCTCAAACGGTAGCGAGCCGAGTTGCCTGCAATGGCATAACGTTTTGCTAATGGGCTTGTGGTTTATTCGGCCCTCGCGCTTGACGAGAGCAAGGAGTCCTCGGGACCTCCCAGCGCTGGGATTAGGCGGTGGAAAGTTGGCAGACGTGTCTTAGCAGGTTGGGAGCAGAGAAGCACCGTATCGCTGCCCGGGTCTTCCCTCCGGGGGTTTAATGATCACTTCTCATGCTCCGGTGTCGTGCAACTCCGCTGCACTAATTAGGTGGTATTTTAACAAAGGTTACTTCAAGGTGCCTGATGCAGCAACTCTTGTGGTTCAGGGATGACTTTGCTGCTTCCAGTTCCAGGAGTCCCCTCTTGCTGACGGGAGCTGGATTATTTGAACGATGCTTTTTGCTCCTGTGGACCGCAGCTCCTGTGCTGGTGGGGTGTGGGGTGGGTGTGCTTGGTGCTGGCATCTCTCCTGCCGGGAGGCTGCGCGTTGACGGGACGGTCCCTGCTGGCCCCGGAGGTCCGGGCCCGCTCTCGTCGGCGAGGAGGAGCGGTTCGGGATGCTGGGATGCCCATACTCTCACGAGCAGGTTAGACGCAGTTTAGCTAAGCTGGGCTTGCTGGGAAGTGAATGTTTGGCCTTGGCAGATGCTGCTTTTCTTTTCTTTTCCTCTCCTCTCCTGGTTGCCCTGGTCCCCCAGTTCAGAGATAAGTAGTGCAGCGACTCGCTTTTCTGCCGATTAAGTCTTTGGTAGACTCAATGCCGCGCCGGTGAATGCTGTCTGCTACTTTGCACCATTCTTCGTTGGTTGACTGGGAGGAAAATAAAGCTTTCCTTGGTTGTACTAAGAGCTGGAGGTTGTTGCCTCCCAACCCGTAGCCCCCATTACTATAGGATGGATCTGGCATTCACCGTGAGTCGCTGCTGCAGTCGCTCATGGCTGATGAGGTGGGCTCAGAGCAACTTTGGGGTTAATTCATGGATCTGCGTGCTATTGAGCTCTTGTTCGTGACTTGCAAGTCTCTCTGCTGGCGGTGAAGGGTGCTCCCTTGGCCTGCGGTGGGTGTTATTTAGCCTGGCTCTTTTTTTCAACATCCGCGAGAAGCAGAATTCCTGGTATTTGGAGTTGCTGCCCAAGCTTCCCATCCTGCTGCCTGTCCTGGAGGCAGCACGGTGCAGCTTTGCCTCCCGCCTGCAGCAGCAGTTAGGAAGGAAACCAGCCTCATTATCTAAAATCAATAGTTGGGCTCTGCTGAGCTGCAAGAGGCTAAGAAACTGTGGAGATACCAATGTGCAGCTCCTCACCCTGGGCCTGAGTGTTGATATTTAAAGGTTGCATCAGTGAAACGGCTTTTTTTTCTGGGGGGGGGAAGCGATTTGTACTGCAGAGGCAATCAGAGGGAAAGGGGACAGGGTTAGGCACCAGTTCTGCAGATGGGTGGGTGCGGGACCCATCTGCATCTGCTGCAGACCGCTTGCCAGGTTGGTACCCAGGTCTTGTAAGTTAGCCGCATGGATGACCTTGGGTTTTTTAACGCGTCTCTGTATGACATGCATAAAGTAGCACGTAGCCAGCCTGGGTGGCCGGGTCAGACTTGCCTCGGTGCTAACAGGACAGTGCTTTGGGACGAGTGAAGGCAGCACCGTGGGAGGTGTCAGCCGCTACGGCAGTAGCTGCACCTATTGCAGAGCTGGTGGGTAACTGACCCTAAAAATCCTTATTTGCTGGAGCTCGAGGGGTTTCCCAGTTTTGTGTGTGCACAAATCCAGGCAGAATCTGTCCACGGCGTTCCTGCATGGCAGTGTCCACCTTTGGCTTTCGCCAGCTCCGCAGGGCCGTGCTGTGATCCGATGCAGCAGCATTCAGGTACCGGTCACACGTAATTACTTCTCCGTGGGTTTCAGCAGCGTTTGGAGATGGCTGCAGAACCTGAGGGCAGGAGGAGGAAGTATGGAAATACGTTGTTTTGGTGGAGACTGAGTTGGGAAGTGGAGGATTCGGTCCACGTGAATCGTTTCTTGCTCTTGCCCTGCTGCTGATGCGAGCTTGCTAGAAATGAGAGATCTCAGAAGTCGATGGCTGTAAAATGTTGGCATAAAATGTAGCTGTTTTGGTAACAGCGAAATGCCAACAATGCTCCTTTCCGTCTGGCTTAGTGGGTGGGAACAGAGCTCTTACTGTATTATAAGGTTAGTTGATATTAGTCCAGAAGTGTGATTTTGTGTGTGCGTGTGTGGCTGATAATTGGTGAATTGTTCTCCTTCGGGGGGGGAAAAAAATCCAACCCTCAAATAGGTGCGAGATGCTTAAAATGAAAACACTTCCAAACACTTTAATGGGATTTTATGTATCGGGATGGTGAGTGTTCTTAGTATTTTTATTTGCAAACTTATAGTATTAAATGTTTATTCACAGCTGCGCGACCCAGCGATGTGTCTGGACACAAACAAGAGAAGCATTTGGTCTGCCCTGTGAGAAGATGAGGGTGCAACCATCTGTTCTGCGCTCTCAGGGCTCTTCAGCGCAAGGCAGTATGAGACCGGGCCTTGGGTTTCTTCTTCTGTAGGGCGGCTGAGACGCATCTGCGGGGTGCAATCCTTCCTGAAGGGCGGCAGTCCTTGCTCAGAGCTGGTTTTACCTGAAGCTTTGTCCAGGTTTCGCAGGAGGCTGCGAGCAGAGCTGGGGTCTGAAGCACGAGACAGGCTTAAGGTTCAGGGTCAGCCGCTTGCTGGGAGGAGGTGGGAGAGTGAGGAAGGCGTCCAAGAGGAACGGTGTCAGCCCCGTAACAGTCTGCTTGCAGTGGGGTGTTCTTCTGGGTGGTGAGCAGAGCTGGTCTCTGAGCTCCTGTAGATCTTGGTGGTGCGGTCGCTTGCCTGGGTGCAACGGGACCAGTTTCTCTGGCCAGCACGGTGAAGTTGCACTACTTGACTTGGAGTAACCTCGTCTGACCCAGTACAGACCTGCAGACTGATACGGACTGCCCGGTGCTGGGATGGGCGTTGCACGACGTACTGTGGATGCTGGAAAGACCTTTGTCAAAGCTGCGGCACACCAGAGCTGCTGTGCTTGTGCTCAGCTTTGTTCTTGTGCTCTCCTCTTAGGTGGGAGTGGGTTTCTGGCACCAGGGACGCATTTTTCTACTCACCTCAACCGTGGACTCAAGTCCTGGGGGTGCCATACTCTGTGCCTCAGTTTACCGGCATTTTCTCTGCCTAGACCTGGATAAAGCCCTTTAGCATTGCAGTAGAGAAGGCGCTGGAAGGAGTGGGTTTGTGTGGGGAGAGCACAGGGCTGGCCACAGCGTTGTTATAAAACTGCTGGTTTGGAAGGCAAGCTTCACGGGAATTGCTGGTATTCCTGGGTCCTCATCAGAGGTGCGTTTTTTAGCTGTTTCCATCCATCTCGACAGCTCCGGGTTTAGCTCGCCTACCCTTCACCTGCGTTTTGAAACCCTTTGGGGAGATGGTGTCCTCCAAGCGCAGCGCGAGGGCATTTGGTGCGCTCGCTCTAGGCACAACCCCTAATTGCGCAGGGACCCAACCTGTTTGTCGAAGGCATTTGGCAGTGCCTGATCCAGAGAAATAGTGTGACGTCTGTTGTGAAAGAGCTTCTTGGCTCCGGTTACCATACTTGCTTGGGGTTTTTTCTTTCCAAAGACCTTATTAATTACCTAGTTAGAGATTTGCTTCGTAGCAGGACGGAGACCTAGCTTTGTTGGTTGACTGCCCTACTTAGGCCAAAGCACTGCTATAGGAGTCGAATAAACACGCAGCATCGAGCTGTCTCGAGCTTCTGTAAAGAATGGTGAAGATTCTCCTGGTTTGAGAAGGTCAAACAGTGTTTTCTTCTGGTGGGATGCACTGAGTCTCCTCGTCTCTACTACCAATGTTTTTCTTATTTCCAATAGGAAACACAGACTGACAAGAACTCAAAGTGCCTTTTCCCCGGTTGTGTTCAGCCCCCTCTTCACAGGTAAGGATTTGAAAGATTTACAGTACGGCGTTTCATTTTGCTATGAAAAGAGCAGTGCGTGCTTAACGATAGATGCTGAACGTTGCCTCCACGTGCAAACTGGGATCTCTGTGAAGAGTCCCTCTGTCCTGCTTGGCCTCAAACCCTGAACAAGAGGAGCTGTAAAGAACGTGGCTGTTGCACGTCAGCGTTTTGCAATTCCTCCTGTTGAAACCCAAGTTTGAGTTGTGCTCTCAGAGGTGAAGGTCCTTCCTCCGCGCAGGGCTGTTTGCATCCAAGTGGTTTGGAAAATCCCCTGTAGAGCAAGTGCAGTTTGGTGCTCCCCTCCCGTGGTTTGAGGGGGGGCTGAGACCAAGCCCCACTCCCCACCTGGACAGCACACCAACGTCAGCGGCTCCGCTGCATGACAGCTATGGGAACTGAAACCTCTTTTGTGGAGCACCACCTTCTTCTGCATGTTTCCCCCCTCTCCCCGTATCCTGCTGGTTTGACCTTCCCTTTTCTGCGGGGGGCGGAGAGGGGGGGAAGTTGACCAGTTTGTAAATGGGGCGAGGGGGGAAGTCCTGCTCCGCTGGCGGCCGAAGGCTGTGGTACTGAAAAGCTCCTGGTCGTGGTCATGTGCCTCTTGTGGTGTGGGCTCATAGTCAAATCAGTCCTGGCCACAGGGCTTGGGGCTTCCCTGGGAGAATCCTGTCTCAAGACGTGCGGGATTAGGAATCTTAAGGTCACAACTGAGTATTTATCAGCTGTGTGGGGCTCTACGTGGCTCGTTATGAAGGCCGGATTCAAAATAAATTCATGCTGAGGGTCTCATTGCAGGGCAAAGGAATCAAAATGTGATTGTGTAGCGATAACTGCGTTAGGAAAAGCCGGTGGGTAGAGCTGAAAGCCTCCTCTTGCTGCTGGTGCAGGCGTTTGGTAGCAGAGAGCGGCTGGGGAGCTCGGTGCAGGAGCTGGTGCGTGGTTTGTGTTCCTGCGTGTAGGGTGAAGCCCTCTTTGGAGAGCAGTGGCGAAGTCTTACTGAGAACTGGTGTGAATTTCAGAGAAGTGACCTTCGAGGCAGAGCATTCGTTTGACTTGCCTGAAACTCGTAACTGGAAGCTGCCGGTCCTGCTCCTGTGGTTTCTCGTGGCTCATTCCGCTCTTGCAGAAGTGGAGTCACTCGGGGGTAATTCAGCTGTGGTGCTTGTTCTCTCCTCCATCCCCATGTCCCTTCAGCTGGTGCCCTGATGGCAGGGCAGCATGGGGAGGATGTGTTCCTCCCGTGGTGCGACTGGCTTCCTGCGGGCGTCATGTGCGTTCATTTAGCAAATCAAGGCTGGTGAAAGCAAAAGCTGCTTCTGCTGCTATGTCAGCTGTTGCTAGGGGAAGTTGCGAGTTTAAAATCTGTAATTCTGTGTGCTGGTGATGGGGGTATGCGGATGTGTGTGCAGAGCTGCTTTTCTTCAAAGGAAACTACGGAGGAGAACCTGCAGTTGACAGGTTTTTGCTTTGAATTTGGGAAATTGATTTGGTTAATTGTTAGTTTACTCTATTAACTATTTTTAAAATTACTTATGTCAATTTTTTGCTGGTTGGTGCAACACTGGCAGTGCCCTCATAGGAGCTTCTCCTTTGCAGAAGACCATTGAAGAGTCCCCAAAGTGACTGTCTGGATTTTAATTGCTTTGGTTTGTTGTTGACTTCTCCAGTCTTGCGCAGCTGAGGACTTGGTTTCTTTAATGGCTGCTGTATAGAGGATTTTCTGAGACTGGGACCACCGAAGTGGGACAGAATTCAAATATCTGGCCCAACTTGCGTGGTTTTCTTGGCGATTGGCTTTCAGGTTAGCGTGTGGGGCGAGCGAAGGTCTTTGGGAGGGCTGACCTCTCCTCGGGCACCTCTCGGAAGTGCTGGCTCCATACCTGCACTGCAGCCTGCCATTGCAGCTCCTGCTGCCTTGGGAAGGATTTCAGAGCTGAGTTACTGCAACCCCTCTTAGTCTGGTCGTCTCTTTTGTTTTTGTTTGTGCAAGACGAATGCAGCCCAACCTACGTGGCCACTTCATTTGCAGGGTGTGGAAGTGAGAGTGGCTGTGAGCATGCGTGTGCGCTCACACCCATGGAGAAGGTACCTCGGATAATAACCAACCCTAAATACTCCTCTTAACGTGGCTTATTAGTAGATAGGACTTTCAAAAGCAGAAGGAAGCTGAGTCAATATTGTCCTGTGTAATGCCTAGTAAATACATTGTCAGGCGCTTACCAAGAGGTGCGTGACGCTGTGTACGGTATCTGGAGCAGAAGAGGAGTTCCCTGCCCACAGGAATTGAAATCTAAGGCAGCCAGATTTCCTTGTCCTTGAGACCATCGTTCAGGTGTTTGGGATGATTTGGTTTATGTTGGTGGGTTCATCAGAGCCTGGTTAGACTGATTTTTTTTTTGGGGTGGGGGGGGGAGCCTTGGCTGTGGTAACACCACTTGGGGTCTCTCTTTGGGATTTAGGTGTTTTCCTTTTGACTCTGTATCAGTCCAACACTGAGGCTGATGCTTTGACCTTGATTTGATGGCTTCATTTCTCTTCCATGATTTTAGGCTGATTTTAAGCTTTTCTGGGTTTAAGTTAGACATCTTAGTTTGTGTCATTATTTTCTCCAAGCAGTATCCTGGATCCAGAGGCTTTAGGCTTCAGTGAATCCCAGCTATTTAACATAAAAGCCTGTCCAGCTCCCTTATATTAATTTTAAGAGCTGGTACCCTCATGGCCTTTAGGGTAAGAGGTGTTTCTGTTTGATCATCCGAGGCATTGGTAGGCAAACTCGGACTGGCATTGATAGGAGCATTATATCAGAGTCCTGTGCCAGCGGGTGCCACGCAGACCTGTGAAACCATTTCCCAAGACTATATAAAGCGTCAGCGCTGTGCACCGTTGATGAGCTCTGCTTGATACGCGAACTCGGTGCTGAAAAGGTCTCGCAGTGCCTTCCTCATCACGCCCTCCTGGTGCTGGACTCAGATGGGGTTCAGGCACGCGTACCAGTGTCTGTCATTCCCTTCTGCCTGACTTTTGGGCTGCGGCAGCAGAGCTGATCAACGTCTCAAAAGCGGTGCAGCAGGGAAACCTGATTTGAAAGCAGTTAACGAGATCGTTCTCCAAACCCTGCAGAGGTTACTGCCCCCTTCCCTCTCCCTCCGCCTCCCCACGCTCGGCCTCTGCATGCCCCGGAGAAGGTGCAATACTAACAGTCTTGCTCCACCAACCTTCAGGTGAAACAGTGTCACTAGTGGACGTGGACATCTCTCAGCGAGGACTGACCTCCCCTCACCCTCCGACTCCACCACCACCACCACGAAGAAGCCTCAGCCTGCTAGGTACTGTCCTGGAGAGCATCCTTTGCCGTGCGTCCCTACGGAGTGTAGGAACAGCCCATCTGCCCTTGTGGGGACGGAGGAGGAGCGTCCCAAGGGTCCCCAGCAGCCGGCTCACTGCCTGCTCGTCTGACCCCGTAGCATGCCTGCTCGCCCTTCCCCAGCAGAGGATTTTTTGCTGTCCGTTGAAATCTTCAGCGTTTCTCTTAGATCAGCCAGGAGGGGAGGGCGGTGGTGGAGCAATGTGAGGTGGGATGTAACGTGCTGGTTGCGTAGCGTTTCTGCTGCTTTTGGAAACTTTCCCCCTTCCTACCCATCGCCCAGCGAGGCCGGTTCCCTTCTGTGCTCTCTAGTAGGTGGAACTGGAGGCTCCCTGGGAGGCTGCTGCACCAGGAGCCTGGCTTGGCTGCTCTACATCCTCCTCTGGAGGAGGTTCCTCTGAGCAAGAGCGGCTTAAGATGGGTAAAGTCAGCTTCAGTGAGCAGCACCTTAAACTGCACATCCCATGTGCCGGGTCTGTGAAATCTCTAAATGCCTGTCTTGTGCTGCAAGCTGCATGCAAGGAGCTAGCTGGGCTGGAAAACTGACTCCTTCACTCCAGGAGTGCATGTGAGCATGCGTGTGTGTGTGTGTGTGCGAAGCTCCGAGCTGGTGTGAAGTGGGAGCAGCCACCCGCGCTCAGAAGCAAGAGGAGGACGGGGAGCTGCCGGTGGGAAACTCCATCTTCGCTTCTCCAGGCAGCGCCGAGCGCCGGGTTGCTCGGGCCGTGTTGTCAGGCGCTCGCCGGCACAGAGCTCGCTCGCTTTCCTGTTTTCTGAATCTCTCTTGCCTCTGTTCTCTCCTAGATGATATCAGTGGGACGCTGCCTACATCTGTCCTAGTGGGTCCAATGGGCTCCTCCCTGCAGTCTTTCCCTCTGCCTCCGCCTCCTCCGCCCCATGCCCCAGGTCAGCTTAGCTTTAGCAGCAAGGCCCTGGCTTTCCCTTCAGGGATCTGGACTTTGGGGGTTTTTCTTGGTAAACTTTAAGGCTGCCCTTCGGGCTTTAACAGCAACGGTGCTGCCTGCATTGCCCGCTCAGGGACACGCGGTCCTACGCTGTGGAGTGCTCAGGCACCGTTGTGCCGAGGCTCTGGTTTCCGCGTGGTGTGGCTCTTGTTGCCCGCAGTAGTATTGCTGAAGCTCCTGGTTGCGCCAGCTTTACCCTCAGTTCAGCATCTCCCGTTTTCTCTGGTTCCTCT